ACCTGAGCATAGCCCCTCCCACAGCACCCTTCCAGACCCACGTCACCCAAACGTACAGCTCCGAACCTACCAGAGGTCTGGTCCTCCAGGTGCATGCCGCGCATGCCAGGTGTCACGTCCACAGAGGCCGAGACCCGACCCCTGATGTGCTATGCTGCCACCTGGCACGCCTAAATGTAAGGAGAAAGGATCGAGTCCAGGGCAGGGAAGTGGAAAAGGATTGAGGTCTAGAATGTGAAGATGTTCCATACCTGGCAGGCCGAAAGGTGGGGAAAATTCCAAGGGTGGGGAGGGGGGAAATGGGGCTGAGTTTTGTGTTTTCAGGCAGCTGGCAGACCAAAAGGTGGGGACATTGTTAAGGGTGGGGTGGAGGGGAGGGAGGAAACAGGGTTCGAGATTTCGTCTGTTGAGTCGTCTTGAACCAGGCTATTCGCAAGTGGAGACAATCCCAAGGGTGGGGAGGTGCAGGGAGGGAGGGAACATGGTTCAAGGTTTGGTAGCTTGAAATTTCCCAAACCCACCAAAAAGGGTCGGGTGTAGGGAGGGAACGAAATATGTGTGAGTGTGTGTGTGTTTTTTTTTTTTTTTTTTTTCGGTCGGGTGTAGGGAGGGAACGAAATTCGGATCTCCTCCCCCATCCCTCATTCAATTGGCAAAAAGTTGTTCCAGGACACTCACAAAACGCGATGACGGTTGATGCTATAACGGGCGCCAGGCAAAGCTAAGGGTTTAGAAGATTGCGAGTACCCGGATCACCACCCAAACCTACAGAATGCGAAAACGGATGACGGATTACACTACAGCGGGGATACAGGTGCACCTAATGCCTACCCAGCCAATTCAAAAGTATATGAAGGATATGAACTCGCGAGTAGCCCTCACCGCCTCTCACTCCTCGCAGGACGCCCACAAGAACACGAACCGAGTAATGCTTTAGCGGGTTATAATATGCGGGGATAACGGCACGCGTACGCAGTCGACATCATAGGATATGAAACCTCTCGTGGCGGCGGGACCCAGCAGACTCGCCCGCACCGTCTTTCGTTCCTCCTCACACGCCCACATTACGCGATAACGAGTAATGCTATAACGGATTGTAATAACGGTACACCTACCCAGTAGATTCCGAAGGACAAGGATTCGCGAGTAGCGACGGGCCTCAGCAGACTCGAATCGACCGCGCCGCCTCCCACTGGCGTAGCGTTAAAGACATTGCATTAGCCTGTAATGAATGCTGCTATACTATACGTCACTTTAAGGAATGCTGCTGGGAATGATGTCGCTTTAACGAATGCTGCTGTTGTGTGACGATCAGGTGTAGGGATCGCGGTTCTGCGACTGACTAATGCTGGCCAGGCGAGTTGCTATGGGAAAAAAAATCGATTTTGCAAGAAATCTCTGAGTCGAGCAAAACGCGGTTCAGTTACAACCAGGCTATTTGTGTAATGAATATACATTCATTACTGTAGAGGCTGCTCCTAGCGAGGACAGCCCCGAGCAGTTTGCGTCAGTGTGGCTCGGCCTACACTTTCGCACCGAACCAATTCCGAGTCGCCCCGCACCAATCGCGACACATCCAAACCTCGCACGTCACGAGGTTCTCGCCTAGCACGTATTCGCCCTATAAATGCTTCTCTTTTTCATTCAATCGTCATTCTCTGATTCTGGAATCACAGTCTCTTTATAGAAGTCTTCCGCGCATTCTGTTTAGTAAAACTCATAACACTTGGTATCAGAGATACTTTCCTAGCTTCCCCGTTTTTTAGAATGTATTACTTTTTGGGGGGGGGATAGGGAAGGATGCCGTAGTGACAGGAGCAGCGCAGGAGCCAGCCAGGAGAATTGATAGTTGCTCCTAGCGGCCATGTTTTTACGGGCGTTCCTGCTGCACCGACGGATTCTTGCCCTCGACGGTCGAGATGGACCATGGCCTCCCTCCCCCCGGTGGAGGACAGCTTTTGCTGTCGTCGCATTTCCGTGAGTTAACTACTGGTGTTTTCGTCAGTTTCGGAGCTGATACTGTGTGGCAGTTGGCGTCGGCAGAATCTTCGTCAACGCACGTCCGAAACTGTCGGAAGCAAGGAGTTGCGAGAGTTGCGTCGGCACGTGGCCGACAACTGCGCGCGATAATATCGGCGTGGGCTGCATGCAGCAAGTGACATCGGGCATCTTCGTCACGTTGCGCATGGGTCCGTTGGAGGTCTTCGGCAAGTGGCGCGTCGTCACTGTGCGCGAAGATTTCGGAGTAGCAGCACGTGGAAAACGACTGTTGTGCGAGTAGCCAGACGCAATGTGTGATTTGCGTCAGAAAAAACGACGGCGATGAGAGGCGGCGTGATGACTGCCCGAAGAAAGCGGGGGTCTACTGTCGTCCCGCCTGGGTGCGGCAGGTGTTGCTGCAGGAGGGTGCGTCGTGGGCGTTTTTCGGCAGAGCGGCACAGTGTGGGACGGAAGTTGTTCTTCAAACCGCTGAAAAGATCGGAAAAGGCCACCTACGACCAGACTGTTCCGGCTTGGGTGACTACTATTTCTGGCACAATGATAATCGGCGAAAATTTCGGAAGCAACAGTGGCAGCCAATTCTGCACTTCAGGCGGCATAGTTCCCTCCGACCAGAGGTACCTGTGTTTGCAGACAGCCCAGTACACCACGGAACAACGATTCGGCACAGCGTTTAGACCCGCGATTATCGGGGATTCTACCGGCGACAATAGACAGAGTTGCGACTAATACGGGTCCGGCGAGAGAAACGGGTTCCGACTTCAGGAGGCGAGAAAAAACACCTACTGCGAAGACTTTTTGCTGAAGCCGGGTTTCGCGGCTAAGCGGCGGTAGCAGATCGAGCTCCCTACCGGCCAAAGTCTTACGACGGCTCACATACCTCACACCAGGTACCTCGAAGGCGTTATAAGACCTGTTGGTCCTGGACGAATATAGTGGGGCCCTGTGTTTTAGCTCTGTGCTGGTTAGAAAGGCGCGGGTGGCGCTGGTTCGGCAGCAGGGCGTACAAGAAACAAATTTGTGGTGCGACACTGTTTCGGCCCCGACAAAAACGGACCATCGGCAACAGTACTCGCCGAAAATATCGGGGTTGAAGAAATCGTGGCAGCTGGCGGGGTTTCTCCTGATTCAACAGTCTACCCGACGGCGGTGTAGCGGCGAAGATTGAGTTCTCGAAGCTGTGGAATTTTAAGCGCGCTAGGCACGGTGGGCAGCGAAGCGGCCGGGCGGGCACGATAAACTCACCCCGGCTACAATAGCGTTCGCGCCTTCATCGAACGCCATAAAAATCGCGGGCAACACGGAGTTATACCTCATCCGACAAACGCGGCTGCTGGGTGAACGGTGGCTCGCCGATATTGTCGGGGGGTGAAACAAAAAATATGATGGTGGGAGACGGGTGAACGTCTGCTCGCCAAACGACTTTGCGGTGTACTTCGAAGCAGTCTGGGGAAGTTCTACTGCGAGATCTGCGGCGTTGATGCGTGCTAGGGTCCAACAAAATCGGTCCCGGAAGACCCATAAGTACTGGGTTCCACGCCAAAAAAACACCTCCAGTTGATAGGTAGCTTGGGTGGTTAACCGCACGAAAAAAATGGTGACCGGGTGGACGTGCTAGAAACACCGGTTCTTTCGGGGGGCAACCTGCAGGCAACCAAGAATTGCGTGGTGTGTTTCGACTCCGACATTTGCGGGTGCAACGAGCAGTCCGAGAAGAGTCTTAACGGAGTCAGCGGAGTCGTTGACAGTATCCGTGCCGATGGCCGAGTTGCAGCGTTGCTTGATTAAGCGCGCGAAGGCACTCGTCGTCAAATGTGTAGCCGTACAAATTCGAACCTTCTCGGGGGTACCAGCCGCAACACCGGTGGAATTTCTCGCAACAGGTAGGGGGAGGAAGGACAGCTTTTTCGCCTCTGCCCAAAAGTTCTCGGCGAGTCACGACAACGTTGCCGAGGTAGCTGACGTCATTGGCAGTTCAAGTTCGACTTGGAAAAAATATTTCGGTGGTTCGGAGGGAGGAACAGCTGTTGTTTTCGCCTCTGCCCGGTAGTTTTCGGAGCAACGCGACAAAGGCCTCGGCGAGTAGCGACACATCCACCGGGGGTGCTGACAGCTGCATGTGCTGCAACATTCGCGGATTGTGATTCTGCCACAGCAACAGGACAAAGGTCTGGATTTCGGACTGCAGATGCTGCAGCAACAGTCGCGACTACAAGACAAGGAAAATTTTCTTCCTAAGGTTTTATTTCAAAGGGTCGTACCCGAGCCCAGGCGCACAACGATTTACCCCCTCAAAGGGACTTCCCGGTTTACCCTGAAGAGTTCTAACATGTCAAGACTATGATTTTCGCCACCGACTACATTTCGACAGTGCAGTTGCTAACATTTCAACAGGGTTCATAACACTTGGTGATTTTTTACGACACTCGGAGGCAGGGTTGTCGAAGATTTCTGCCCGCACAGCTGTACTACATTGGGGATCTACCCTTCTATTTCAAGGGGGGGAGAAAAGGATATTTTCGCACTGTACTTGGCAGTTCTGACAGCCTCGTCAAACTCTGACAGCTTCATCGGCATCAACGACTTTCGATTCATCGGCATCATCGGCTTCTGACACCGTGTCAGAATTCGATCCAAAATCGCCAGCATCATTACCGTCCAATTCGCCTTCGCTTCATCAACGACTCACGTTCCTTCACGACCAGGCCCTCAGATTCGTTTTTTGCCTGCCTGATTTGTCAGACTTAGTACACTGTGTTAGTCTGATTTGATCAGAGTTGGTTGGAAAAAAAGGCTGAAACTTCAGAGTGTCTTCAAAAAAAAATCTGAAGCAATCAGAGTCTACCCCATGTATAAGTCTGATTGTGTGCTGGAGTGTTTTGTATTTAAGGTGATGTTGAACTACAGAAGACTGGCCTACATACATACTACTAGCACATAACAGTTAGAGTTAACTACCTAGCTAGTAGCCATATAGACCCTATCCTATCTACTCTAGTCTACTCATCAAATCCATCATCATCACTATCGGATGCATCATCATCCTGCTCTATGTCTTCTACTTCCATCACCTCCTCTGCCTCCTTGGCCTTGTTCTGTTGCTTTTCCGCAGGCGGGAGAGGAGCGTTGCTGTGGGGCTTGCGCTTCTTGCAGGCCCTCCAGATTGTCACGATCTCCTCCCAGTTGGGCTCATAGTCCATGAGGCTCATGCACATGAGTTCGCCCAGCCGTGCATCCTTCAGCATGACAGCTACCGCCACCCACAAATGAACAAGGTTGGGGTAGTTGTCCCGCCAGTCCGGTGTCTTGAGCATGGCTGTGAGCCCCGCGTGAAAGCTGCGCTCGCCCTTGGTAGAGGCTACAAGCACCGAGGTAAACATGCACAGCTCCTTCTCTGCACGGTGCTTGTTAACTCCTGGCGGGGTTGGGAAAATGAGAACAAAATATTGGAATGAGTAAACAAACACATACATTCGTTGAAGCGTCGCAGTACACAAGCAGAGCAACGATGCAGGATGAAGCAATAAGGCTTACCTGGCACGATCTCCTCCGTCAGGTCAGCCTTGAACAAAGTGACCAGCGACTGTAGCCACTGAAGGCACCTCCGTTTCCTCTCGGCTCGATCCAGCGGGTACTCGTCTGGCAGGAACAGCTTCACCCCGGACATCCCATCCAGGTCGCCTAGCCGATGCTCGAGCTGGTGAACAATCACCTCCGCGAACTCCGTGCAGAGTGACACGCAGTCGTCATGGGTCCCGGGCCTTTCGAACTCCTCCAGCTCGTCCTCATGTAGCATGAATTTGAAGCGTGCTGGACGGCCGTCTGAGTCAATGCCTTCAACTTTCACCTCCCGGTTTCCTCCTGGCCCATGGCGCGCGATGAAGGGGGACAGCAGCTCGCTCACGCCGCCACCGAAGTCGTCGCCGCAATCAATGTAGCGGCTCTCGATGTGGGACGTCGTGCGCTTGATCTGCGCATGCACGCCGGCATAGTCAAGCTGGACAGAAAACAAAAAGACTGTAGTTAGTGGATGATGAGGGTTAACAAACAAGAACGCGCGTAAGAATGGCGACTGCAACAAAGCATTAACAGACAACTATGGCCAACCTCACCTCCTTTTGCTGGAACACCCGGTTCAGGATGTTGAGCTGCTCAAGCACATCAGCAATGAAGAAGAGAAGGAAATGAAACCTGTAACTCGTAACCAGAGCATAGAGGTTCGCGTCCCACTCCTTCAGCATCACGATGAGTGCCGGAAGCACCGCGACAAGCCTGAGCACTGCGTCGCCCCACGAAAGCCACCAGACGGAATGAATGCCCTGGAGCTCAAGAGAGGTTGACGCAAAACTTCCTGGAGCCCCATGAACCGTTGATGCCACGGCCCCGAACGGCCGAGATGCTCTACCACGGTGCGAATCACCGTGTCAATGACATTGAACGCCTGAATCTTCTCGGCCGCTGTTTTTGCCGCGAGTGCCTCCCTGTACACAAGATGCAAACATCATTAGTAAATCTGGAAAACAAACAGTCGTTAAGACGCAAAACAAATAACAACGAGAATACACATACATACATACCTGTGCGCGATACAGTGGGATGACACCAGATGGGGGATGCGCAGTCGGAGGCGTGTGGTGAGGCTGGACTTGCTACCCATCATGACGTTGGCACCGTCGGTGCTGATCCCCGCGATGCGCTGAAGGTCGACCCCGACAGCCTGCAGATGTGACAACAGCACACTGAGGAGGGAAGCTGCATCGGCCTTCTCCACGGTAAGAAGCGCCATGAACTCGGTGACAAGCTTGTTGTCACGGATGAAAGAGATGAAGAGGATCAGGTGCTTCCTGCTGCACCTATCCGTGCTCTCGTCAATCGCGATGCCGACGAAGGGCGACGCCAGCACGTGTTCCAGCTGGGTTGTCTGGAGCCATGTCGCAGTCGCTTGCGTCAGCTCACCGAAACCATATCTGCATGAACATTAACCTCGGGATAAAACACTGACACAACAGAAAGCATCAAATAACTTCTGGCAGTTGCACTCACGTGGTGTAGTAGGTGCCGTACCCCTTCTTCGGGAAGCCAGGCACGCCCCCCTCCGCCAGGTAACGCACAAACTTCACCCACATCCCCATCGGCGCATCGGACCTGCTGATGAACAGCAGGGAGTCAAGAAGGGCGACGACGCGCGACTGCTCTCCGTCCATGGTGGCGCGATGTTGGTCGATCTGCGGCTGCCTCGCTCCGCACTCCTGCACAGCTGTTTGTCTCGCCATCGCCAGCTTGTGTTTTGCCGTGCCCGCGTGCTTACGGAACGACTGGGTCTGCAAGTCCGTGGCGCCTTTCCCGCGTCTCCCGCACTTGCCTCCGTCGCCAGCATAGGCTGCACACACAGTACACTTGAAGGCACGCAAGCCGGAGGTGTTTTTGGTGATTTGGAGCCAGGGAAACCGCGCTTGCCACTGACTCTTGAACTTGTCAATGGCATCATCGTACAGCCGTTCAATGAGCTCGGCCAGGTTTATGGTGAGGCGAGGTCGCGGACGCTCAGACGAGCCGGGAGAATTGTTGACGTCGGCGGTTGAGGATGAAGGCTTGGCGAAGCTCAACGTCGCCTGCTTGAGCCGGATGGTTCGCGCCATGGTCTGAGCGGGATGGTGCGATGCCGAAACGACAGCTGGTTCCGCAGGTGTCTCTGCCACAGGGTCGGGATTTGAGATCACGGGTGCTGGAGGTTCCTTCAAGGTGGGGATAGAATCGAGCTCGGCGCGTGCTGCCTTCTCGAGAGCTAGGCGACTGAGCAAAAAATATAAGCCTGTTAACGCAGGCTGCGAATCAGGGTCGTCGTCATCGGCGGTAGCGGGATTGTCGGGCTGAGGCTACTGAACTGGGCAGTGGAGGGACCCAGTGAGTTGAAGCTGAGCTAAGGGATGGGGATGAAACCCTAGCTCGTAGAGGATGGCCCTATAACTGACTGTCGGCCATCCATGCCTCTGGTGGGTGGTTGCCTAGCATGCACGGCAACGACGAGGCGCGTCTGCAGTGCACAGCTAGGAGGAATGTTTCGTGTTGGTACACGATGCTGCCAAAGGGACCAATCAACGGGTCTTCTTGGCAACGTCTGCTAGCCATCGCCTTTACGTGGGTGGCAACTGCTGCAGCATTGTGGACACTGGTGGTGGTGGAGTTCGTGATGGCAGTCAAAAGCTGCCAAACGGACCAATCAGTGCTCTAACAGGGTGTATGCTGGAGCTTACACCGAGGGAAACATCGCGCCGCAGGGCGGGGGAATCATCCAGCTGTACGAGGGAAACACCGCGCCGCAGGGCGGCGTCGCCCACAGAACTTGACAGTTGGCACAGATTTCGCGTGATTGACGGTACAGGTACAATGTACCACGGGTAATCCTGGGTGTCGGTGCACAGGTAGATTCAATCAGAGTCGGTACTCGTTTGTACTCTGAATTCCTCAGAGTACACTCACGGAAAACTCTGAAATCTCAGAGTCAACCTATCAAAAAAACTGATTTTTACAGAGTTCAAGCCAAAAAAAAATCTGAATTTCTCAGAGTACACCCAGGCAAAAATATGAAATCTCATACTTTTTCAAGCAAATCAGACAAATTTCTCTGACTTCTGAGGGCCTGTTCGCGACTTCAACTCGACTTTCGATTTCAATCGCCAGATCGACATCTGGGAATTCAACGGCTGACATTCCAACCATTTCAAAATTTGTATGGTCAACCAGTCAGCCTCGCGTCAACTCGACGGTCAACGCTTTCTACACCGTCAGATCAACTTCAACCGAAGATCTGCAGTTTTCACGCTACTGCAAGACTCGGCTTCGTATAAGTGCACCTTATTTAGAAGGTGGGCGAGTGTAATGAATATACATTCATTACTGTAGAGGCTGCTCCTAGCGAGGACAGCCCCGAGCAGTTCGCGTCTGTGTGGCTCGGCCTACACTTTCGCACCGAGCCAATTCCGAGTCGCCCCGCACCAATCGCGACACATCCAAACCTCGCACGTCACGAGGTTCTCGCATAGCACGTATTCGCCCTATAAATGCTTCTCTTGTTATGATTTCGACATGCTATCAGAGCAGGTCGACCCCCTTGGGTCGATCCTGTGGGTGGGCCCGCCACCTAACTGCTTCTGCTGCTGTTCTGCTTCTCGCGCGCCTCGGGCGCGCGCCGTCTTCTTCCTGCCGGCGAATTTTTTTAGGGTTTTTCATCCCGCCGTGCGCTCGGGGCGCGCGGCGAGTTTCTGCCCGCCGTGCGCCCCGAGGCGCGCGGCGGTTTTCTGCTGTGGGGACCCGCGCACAGCTCCCGTCCGTCGCGGCGCCCTGGGGAGCAGCGTGCGCCCCCTGCCCGTCCGTCGCGGCGCCCTGGGAGTAGCGCGCGGCCCCCCTCCCGTCCGTCGCGGCGCCCTGGGGAGCTGCGTGCGCCCCCCGCCCGTCCGTCGCGGCGCCCTGGGGCGTCGCGCGCGGCCCCCGCCCGTCCGTCGCGGCGCCCTGGGGAGCCGCGCGCGCCCCCCGCCCGTCCGTCGCGGCGCCCTGGGGAACCGCGCGCGCACCCCCGCCAGTCCGTTTTGGCGCCCTGAGGAGGAGCGCGCGCCCCCCCCCCCCCTTCTGTCCCGTCCCCCCCCCCCCCCGTGCTGCCCGTTCCTCCCGTGCCGCCGTGCGTTCCACGGTGGTGGGGGGTGTGGGGTGGCGAGCATGGGGGTGTGCGGTGTGGGTGCTCCCCTTCCCTCTCCCCTCCTCCTTGTTCGTCTCCCACTGCTGCAGCTGCTGCTGAGGGGGGTGGAGGTGAGGGAGCCGAGGGGAGTGGAGCCAGGGGGGTGACGTGGGAGTGGAGCTAGGGGTGCAGCAGGGGGTGTGTGGAAAGGAGTTGGGACTGTTTGGGGAGGCTGAGAGGAGGCCGCCGTCGTGTCGTGTGCAGCGCCTGTAGTCCGGAGCCCTCGCGCTCTCGGTAGCCCAGAGAGCCTTGCTGTGCCAGTCGCATGTGGGTCCGTTGCTCCTGCCGCTTGTCGTAGCCGCGGAGCCAGATACTCCCGTAGTCCGGTGCCCTCGTGCGCTCGGTAGCCACTGTGCCAGTCCTCCTGTTGCCCGTGTGTCTGCAGCTTCAGCCGTCGTCTCCCATCTTCTCTCCCTTCACAATTTCTCCTCCTCACTTGCCCTCTGTGATCGCCTCTAGCTTTGCTTATAATTGTGAACCTGCTCTATGACTGCTTGCTCTGCTGATTATACCCCACTTTGACTATGGGGGTGTGTCAGAATGTTATCATTGTCTAGCCTGCAGTGGGGTACTCTATAGCGAGTACAACCCAATTAGGGTTTCCTATATGTATTCCTACTGCTGCTAGTGCAAACCCTCCTTCTTCTCGTTACTGATTTCGACACCCAACCCAGCCCATGACAGCTCAACCCCTTCCAGTGCCACTTCCACTTTCACATCCCAAACCGAACCAATCCACAGCTGCAATGCAATTCAACCCCTCATTACTTCCCACTCACTAGGCCTCGCTAGTGGTGCCTCTCGATAGTGCTGCTTCCCTGCAAGGATTAATATGCCCGGTTGAGCCCCCCGACCTTACCCTACCCTCTGGGCTTATAAGCAATTCTTGCATTTCGTGGAGGTTTCGTCAATTCGCATCGGGCAAAAAGGGCTTATAGCAAAATTTTGTAACTCACCGTTGACTATTTGACTTCGGTCTCTTCAGTCAATTTTGAGTTTCTGTGGTTCGTATTGGTCGACGTGCTTGTAACGTGGGTGCAACTGCCCGGCAAAAAACCCACGTGTGCAAGGTTTCTGGAATGTGCAAGGCAATTTCGCGTGCAGGGGGTGAGCATCACCTGCTAAGCCAAGCCAAGCTCACGTACTGTATTCGCATGCGCTGCCGTCGCTAGTGGTGCCTTTGGCGGCTAGTGCTGCTTCTCGCTAGCGGTGGGGCGGTGCTTCTTTGAAAGGACGACCAAGCCAAGCCAAGCCTAGCCTACGCATTGCTTGTGCTGCCGTCGCGTGCATTCCATTCGTCCATCGCTGCTATAGCAGCAGCCGTTCATTTCATTTGCAGCAGTCTATATCACATCACTTAGCGCACGCGCATCGCACTCTTGCAGGAACCGGCAATGACTAGCTCAGCACGTTATGTGGAAAGAATTTGGCGAGAATATCGCATGGCACGTGTTGGGTGTGTTTTCCGCTGTAGAAACTGCCACGTAGGACACGTATTGGGCGGATGCTGTGCAATCACATCATGAAAACTCACAGCAGCCATCTTATCTTGACACCTCAGCTTACATTGCCTCTAAAGGTTCCCTTATCTTACTACCTCGCTCGACTCGAGCTCCGAAATGGAAACTCATCTAATGAGTTTCGGGTTCACTCTGAAACTAAGTTGGTTTTGGTTCTCACGGTACAATTTTCGGAAGCTACTAGCAATCGCTTGACTGGGAGCCCCACATGGCGGACGTAGATCACCCTCGAGTCGCGCGCTCTGTCGCGGTTCTTCACGACGCGTTGCGCGCTCACGCTACGACAGCGTGCCTCATCCTGCTTCTCCTCTACTGCTCACCGACGACGGCTTTCTGGCCCATATCGAGGCAGATTGTACCAAGGATACCTACTGATCCTTGCTACGGGATAGAATCTGCTTCGGGCAGAACCAGCAGTGGCTCGTCGCCGGCTCCGGCGGATAGTAACACGGCGGCTCTCAGGGCGGTTTTCACGGCCGCGTTGATACCCATCCCGTCTAACCAGCCAGACGCGTGCACGTGGCCCGGCGTGATTTGCTGCGGCGCCGGCGCTGCTTTTCTAGACATCTCTAAGAACAGCGCCCCCCACCCACCCACGCCTCGCCTTTGCAACCGAACTGCGCGCGAACCCGGCGGGACGTTCCCCGCAACCCTCTCCGATTCTATCGGCCAGTTAACGGGTCTAGTCGCTCTCAATCTGAAGGGTCTCTGGCTTGCGGGCTCCGTCCCGCGATCGTTGTCCCGGCTTACGCAAGTGCGTTCCCTCGATCTTAGTGGTAACTGCTTCGCTGGTCCTCTTCCTGCTGCCATTTTTCGCTTGCCGTCGCTTATCGATGTGGGCGCCGCCAAAATTTTCTTCACTGGCGGGTTACCGCAACGTCCTGCTGCGTACGTGGCTACGCTATTTACTCTGGATCTCGGGAATAATTGGCTGTCCAGGCCGATCCCTGCTGCCCTCGCGACGCTACCGGGCTTCGGTGCGGTGAAACTTTTGTCCCGGAATCGGCTAATGTCAGACTTA